CACTACAATTTAGCTAATTTAAAGTTTCTTGAGGTGTTTAACGCATCTCATCACCTCACCTCAGTATCACTACACAGGTCAGCCTCATTAATTAAAATGTTTTTCTTCTCTTGCCCTGTGTGGGCAATTAGCTATAAAATATAGATGGGAATGCAGGGAAGAGGGCAGTGTCAAAAGCACAGCCAAAATAAGCCAAGAAAGTTTCACTGGAAAGGTTGGCAAATACACAGAGTTCATGTCAAGGTCTAAGCTGACACCTCCCCAAGCCTTCAACACAAAAACATGAGACACTCAACAGTGACAGTTTACAAAGGATAAATACATTGCTTTTCCTAATATCAGAGGTATATAACAATGGGAAAATGCTTTTTATGAGGCACAGATGACTAACCTTTTAAAACTACTCAACAAAATTCTAAAATAGGAAGATTTAATGCACAAGTAACAAGAGAAACTTCTTCCAAGTGACATTTAAGCTTTGTCAGCAATAACCTCATCCAGTAGTAATAGCAGTTTCGTGATAAGGAATTTGGAAATCCAGCAATAACACCTGCCTTGCTGGTAGTGAAAAGAATTCAAGCTACAGGCAATACCTGCATCAAAAGAAAAGTCCTCTCACATTTTCAGAGCTATACAGGGCATGCAGGCAGTTATTCTAACTTGACATCAATAATATTTCATAAACTGTTTTCAGTTCCATACTCATCACACAAATAAAACCATTATGACCCAAGCCATTACAAATATAAGAAAACTAAGTTTACTGTTGCTTAAAAATCAGAATTTTTAGTAACATTTGCAAAGATTACTAGGAAAAAAAACCCTGATGTTCCAAGGGATTACTGAAAGTACAGCTTTTAGAGATGTACAGGTTTCCTTGTGCAATCCCTTCAGCACCATGCCAGGGATTCTAAAATGAGAAGAAGTGTTCAGTCTTAGTGCAGCTTGTATTTAATTCTTACTTAAAACTGAAGTGACAAATCAAAAAGCCACTATTTTGTACTTTTTTTACTTCTGCCTACACAGTTGGTTACCTTTTCCCTCCCTTTAAGCAGGGATATTAACAACAGTTCTCTGCTCATGCTACTGAGTTTATTCTCAGCTGCATGAATAATCGTTGCATAATTTATTACCCTCTGTAATACATGTGAACATTTATTTTAAGAATTCTGCATAACCTCAATTCTGTCAATTCTTGCCTACTGCAACTCTGGCAATACCTCAACCAATTTTTAATTTTCTGTCTTTTAACATTGTAGGAAGAACCCAGCCCTTTGGGGCTTTGGAAATTCTGGTTGCTGTATTTAAGTTCATCACACAGGCAGGTGTAGGTTTAGGATAAGGAATATCTTTTGCATAGCACAACATTAAACATCCTATCTCCTGCCCAGTGGATAAGAGGAAGGGGAAGCAGGAGGTTGTTCCAAGGCTGTGGAAAGTGTCAGGAGATGAATCTGATTTTCTTAAGTGGATCACGAGCAGGCCCTGTGTAAGCAGCAAGACCAAACACACCAACAGCCTGAATGAGGACATGCCTTTAATTCAGAAACATCTTTAGGTTGAGCTGAAATTGTGTAACTTTTTCTTTTTTTTTTTGTCCTAAATGAAGACTTGGAAGTAAAAATAGTTACAAAACCATTTAATATTTCAAGATAACAATGACAGTGTGCAAATGGTGCTTACCTAAATTGTACATTATACAGCAAAAAGTGAACACAAACCCATCAGATCTAAAGTATGCTGCATATCTAAAATAAGACCTAAGCAAAAGATGTATTTCCTCTTAATTTTTCGATACTTTATATTAGGAGTCAGCAAGATTTTATTTGACTCACCAGATATTATCTGGAGAAGTCATCAAGAACCAACAACTGTACCTGAGATTCAATTTGGCATAATGTTTTATTGAATTTTAAACCAAAAATCCAGTATATGCTTGTTTCTTATATTTGTCTTTATTTTCCTCTTGTTCTTTGGTACAGTTTCTTGCTTCCATACTATTTCTTCATTCTGGTAATGAAGACATATTTGCACTGCAGGATCAAGAACAAAGGACCAGCTCTTAGGAAAAGTCACCTACATCACACAGATGCTAGAGCTGCTTTAAATTCAGAGTAAGACAAAATCCAGGAGGGATTGCTTTTAATCCCAACAGTGTCAACAAAGAAAGTTTAACTGCATTTACCAGAGGAAACAGTCTCTCATGCCTCCAGGCATGCTGTGAACACATTTGTGTTGCAAGAGAACTTCATTTATAGACAGAAGAACTGTGTTCTCTACCCACCTTCAAAATTATAATATTTTAGCAAATTGTTCTCCAAACCCCTCCTAGCTGACATTCCAAAAATACTCTATGTTCATCTCCATAGCCTCAATTACAAGGCAGTGAAAACCCGAGTTACCCATGAGCTTCAAAGCAGTGATAGAGATTAATTCAGGATAACTCTCCTGAGTAATTATCAAACTAACGACCTCATCAACTAATGCATTCTCCAGCACAGAAACAATCCTTCCTTACAAGGTTTTGCAGTGAAATAAGTGTTCTGGATGACCTTGTTATACCACTGCCTATATCAAATTTATGTATAATCCAACCTCAAACAAGACACGACAATAAAGACACCACCTGAAGCAGTCTCCTTACTGCAAAATCTTCAAACACTGCAAAAGTCCCCCCCCCCCATACCATACTATGGTGAAAATTTGGAGCACTAAAACCAGGTGGCAAAAGTGAGAACATTTCTAGTGACATCTATTGTTCACTGCCGAAAGTAGCACTCAGGAGAAAAAAGTTATTTAAAACGCTAAATAAGATAATACCATTATTTATTGCAAAGATGAGTTTTGATGATTAAAACTTCCCATCTGAATGTAGAACCTCATCTTTATTCAATTATATTATATCTCTTATCCAGGCTGCTTTTCCAATTTATCAAATATCTTTTGAATTTTAATCACACCATCCAGTGTGCTTGTAATTCTTTTTGTCTTGGTGTTACTGGCAGATAAAGACAAATCAAGTCCATTTTCATGGTCATTAATAAAAATACTGTAATATCACAGGCCAATACAGACCTCTGACAGACTCCAGCCTTCCCTTCTGATAATATTCTAAGCGTATGTTCAAAACAAGTTTCCTTAGTTCCCTTACCAGGAGGTACTGCCAAATCTCTGCTACAGGTAAGCCATGGTGTGCAGTTTTTACATCCTCTCTAAAGTCCTCTTGGATGCCACGGGAAAAGCTCATCCTTTGAAAATCCTAGGAAAACTTTTGCCCTCTATCAGTACTTGCAAGATAGAGTCTTGGAGTTCAATTAGGACACTCCCACACACAGACTCAAATTGAAAAGAATAATCTCGTTGTGACTCAGATTCCCACCAGCCAAACTCTTCAAGTCCCAAATACTAACTCAGAAAAAGTTTCATAACATATCCTTGTCCTTGAAGCCGCAGAAAAAAAACCTAACAATAATCCTTATCTTCCTGTCAGCCTGACCTAAACACCAGGTATTTATTTTTCCAATATTTTCCATAAGTGCCTGCTTCACAACCACTCTCAGCATTCAAAATTATTTTAAAGACATCATTCTTAAAATAAGACTTCCACATTTAAACTTCTCTTCACTGCTTCAAGAAAACATGATTTATTTTATTTTGCAGAAGAGCTGCTCTGAATTTCTTGTGGAAATGACTACAACATAGCAAGCTTTTAACTGAAATTGCCATTTGATTCCAACAGTAAAGAGCAGCTACCTTCACAGCAGGTGTTAATATCAGCAAGAACAAATCAAAGATTGAATACATAACTAAAATGATTATGGCAGAGGGCAAGGATAAAAGGCAGCAGGCCTAACAGCAAATATCCAGTCCTTTGATCAGTCAGGAGTAAAAGTGCCCTTCAGTAAGGATTCCAGAATTCACATTACAAACAGGGCATAGATTCTACCTGCCATGGATCAGGAGACATCCCCACTCTGAGCTCTGCATCACAACTCCAACCCCCAGCACAAATGAATGCATGAATTTTAAAACTTCTTAAAGGCCAAATGTAATAAACAATAGACAAAAAATGCTATTTAAAAAAAACAGATCAGCAGGGTTGGGTTTTTTTGGTGGGGTCCATGTTTTGGGGAGGTTTTGTTGTCTATTTTTAGGTTTAGGGTTTTTTGTTTTTTTTTTTAATTTTTAAACAGCACTGATAGAAGAGTCCAATAGAGCAGCTCAGCCACAAGTCACCTGTGACTCCAGCCAAGTGAACACTGTGTCTGTCACCTTCCCCACTATGACCTGGGGAGATTCCTTCCACCCATAAACCCCCCAAGCTCATTTCTCTGCACTCTGCTGTTGCCCTGTTCTTTTGAGTTCTCCTAAACCTTCTGATGTTTACATTCTTGTAATGAACTTTCTCACAGACTTTATGTAAATAATTAATTGTTTTACATTCTTTTCTAGAAAAGGAAAAATCTGATGAACTGTTAGTTTGTTCAGTGTCATTGGAGAGGTGGCACTTTCACCCTCCAATCCACTGTCACTTTTAAAAATCTGTAAATGTTGGAGTCAGAATTCAACTTCCCTCTTTTTCACCTTGGAAAATCCAGTGTCTGCATCTTTCTATTTTGTGTCCTAGAGTGACACTCTGCCCCTCTGAACCACCACTAAAACCATTTGTGGCTGCTCCTAATCTGCTCCCCTGGCAGCTGTATCCCACGTTCTGCTGAGTTGCTTTAAGCATTAACTATCTCACACACATATTTAACAACTGCCTATAAATACACCTCAGTTACCTCCTCCCCTTGTCAAAATATACCATTTAAATGGAAAAAAAATCAGTACCTCAACAGGTTTTGTTTTGACCTCAGATCCCCACATGACTAAGTACCATGACAGTGCCAGTAAGAACCAATATTCTGATTATATAAAAGCATGACTGTATTGTAAGCAAGCCCTTAAAAGCTGTCTGCTGTCACATCGAGACATAACTGAAAAAAAAGAGAACTTACCTGCTGGCAAGGGAAGTCTTGAAATATCTGTAACAATAAAGAAATACATTTAGAAACAGAAGAAAAAATAGCTCTACAACTGCAGTGACCTCATAATTTTTCTGCAAGGCTATACTTGTTTAATAAAGCACATTATCTGAAGCAATTTGCTGGCTGCTACGAATGCCACATGCAAATCAAAAGCATTTTCCTTGTCTCTTCCTGTTCATTAACAGGATTATGCTCTGCTCACCTGACTGAAGGACAAAGATTATACTGAAGGCAATGAGTGTAATTACAGCAGCAGAATACAGGTCACTACGCACAAATGAAGCGTTACATACAAAATTCACCATCATCCACAGAACTTCAGAGCTCAAAGTGTCTGGGATAGTCTTTGCAAATGAAGAGGACTCTACAGAATGCTTTCTTTATTCCTAAATCTTTAGAGAAGAAGTAGCCAAGCTTGCAAGTGGATAAGCACAGGACATAAGAAATAATATTAAAAGAAAGGACACTGATTTTTGTCACCAAGGCACATTAGACACAGTTGCTGAACATTTTTATAGTAACTGCTACAGCTGTCTTGAGCTGCAAACAATGGCCACTGTCTCAGAATCTAAAGAGAACATACAAAAATTATGCACTAAAAAAATAGACATTATATTAAACTGTAGGTCGTTATAATGTTCCTGCCTGCTTTTCTATTGTCATCTCAGTACACATCATCATGACTGGGACCTGTGGTGCCCATCAGAGTTCAGAACAGAAACTAGAACCCACAAAGAACGAGAAAGAAAGAATTACTCAAGTCTTTAAGGACAAGGACTGGGGACACACATCACAGGGTTGATGAAAACTGAAATAAATACAAGTGGGATGGGGGGGAGGTGAGAAAGGGGAACCAGTAAAATAAATGAGAGGAAAAACTGAACTGAACCTAAGGAAAAGGTCTGCAGCGTTAAGTGGTTAAAGAAAACAGCAATGTTGAATAATAAATCATCACACTGGGTACAAAATCCACATGGAAAGTGAACTTTAACCACAGGTCCAGCAGCCAAAACAGATGCAGAGATTATAGGGGCAGATGGTCACTGCTTTGCTACCTATTAGAAGAAATAATGAAACTTAATAAATTTATTAGCCCTGCTCTCACCAACAGGTTGTTACAATTCATGTCTGTGGCCAGAAAACACGATGAAACTTGAATAACAAAGAGAATTACACCCAAAATTTAAAGGCAGCCGACGAAAAATTTCAAAAATCAATTGTACTACTCTGAGGAGATGATGAAAGAGCAACACAGAAAGCTGAAACGCACTTAAAGCGGGAAATCAAAGGCAAACAGGACACCACAAAAAACCCAGAGAAAATACTGAATGCCCTGGTCTGGTAGAACACAGTATTTAAAAATTGCATTTAAAAGATGCAATCTTTTAAACTGCATCATGCTGTCTGCTTAGGAACAAAACCATCCAAAACCATCTTACACGTAAGATATGCCTTGAGACAGGTGATGCAGCCAAGGAGACACAGGAACTGCAGGAAGGAAAAAACCCAATAGCTCCTGCACAGAATCCAAACCACATATATGGAATGGAGCTTTCATCCATCAGAAAGAGATTTGCAGTGACAATTAATTTGTAAAGTTACATGAAGATAAATGTTGCATCATTTTTTTGTTTGTGTATGTTTAATTGTTTCCATGCTCTTTTTTCATGAAGTTACAGAAAAATTCCTGCTTGCCACTAGGCTATACAGTACAACTGCAGCCACATGAGTAAAGCATTTAAAACTGTGGGTCAGAAAATATCATTTTTGATTTTAATGTTTCTGCAGTGACAAAAACGTATGTTTAAATTCAATTTTTAATTAACAACTATTGAAATATTTAAGTTACTACAAACACTTTAAAGTACATTAAAATATTTTAAATTTTGTGTATTGCGGATGTTTTATCACAGCATTTATTACTTTTGAAGCAGACTCTTTGGATAAATGTGCCTACACAACAGATGTCAGGAAAGAAATGACAAACATAACCCCCAGAAAAATATGTTATTACTGTTATTATATACACACAGGCAGAAAACAACCACTTACATCTCAGAACTTAAAGAGGGAAAAGTTCTGCAGCTAAGACACACACAGAGATTTTGAACTTCAAGAAGACCTGATCATATCCCAGCGTTTGTCCCGAACACCTGAGCCGCTGTTTCCGCTGTCACCTCTCCCTGCCAGCGCTCACACAGATCCTGTTACTGCACCAGGACCTTCCAAATGGGGCACTGACACCATCAGCACTGCTGCTATATTTAAATCAAACACTGTGAAGATTTCTTACTTCCATGTTCCACTGCAAATTACTCCCACAAGTGCATTAACTGAAGAGATGCTGCTCCCCTGGGACAAGTTTACTGAACAGCTTCCTGCAACTGCACCTTCTTCTATTACAGTGTAGTGCAAGAGACTGTTTTCTACCATTAATTGACATACATTAGATCTAAAAACAAGCTGGACAGAAGAAATTGAAGCGTGAAGGTTGTATCAGTATACTCAAAAGTGCATATGTGCACTTAGCAGGTTACTTGTATGGTATTACTCTATTATTTCCATTAAGCACAAGCTGATGTATTTTAATTTTAGCAAACACAAGCCACTACAGAAATGTCAGTTCATAAATGAAATAAGTATTTCACAATTCCAAAGATAACAGTAACAATTCTACTCCTTTGTGTATCCAGATATCACAACAATAAGTGAAATGCCCATTACCTTCAAGTTGTTCCTATAAGTGTGGAGTCACTTTAGGAATTTTCTCATCATTGAGTTTGCTCCATCTCTGCAGCTCACTCTGTATTTTCTGGATTGAAACCTCTTAGCTTTATTCATAAATATGGTTTTTCATTTAACATCTAACACTGAAAAAAGATGAGTGGATTCTGCCCACACTTTACTAACTTCCTTCACAGAGAGGTAAACTGAGAGTACACACTCAGGTAGCCACTCATTTTGGGTTGCATTTACAAACTTGCCTCCCCTGCTGTGTAAAACTTCCCCCTTTCTGAAGCACATTACAGCATTTCATTCTCTAGAGAGGAGAAATACAACCAGTGCTGAGATATGAAGAGGAAAAACCCCAAAGTTAGGGTTTTAATGGTTTGGGACTAAAATGAGAGGCTTGAGACCATTTTGGAGAGCTGTTGGGAAGGATTCCCTCACATCGGGGAAGCCTGGACTGACTTTGTTCCTAAAACTCAGTTTCTGAGTGCTTGGAGTGCTGTCACATAAACCACATTTACAGCAGCTGTACAACAGGAACTAATCTTACTTTTTTATCTGCTCCAAAGTAGTTCTTCAAAGTGAAATCTAAAATGAATCATATTTCAAGTGCTGCTGCTCCTACTGATCCTTTCAAGGGATCACTCATGTTTTGCATTTATATTCTTAGGTATCTCCCTGTGCTACTTGGCAGGGAGCAAACTGCCAGTTTGAGCAGGCAGAAAGAAAAATTACTTTCACATTGCATTCTTTATCATACCCAAACTTTTACATACTTTGTAAAGGCTAATCAGTTCTCAAAGAAAACTGATTTTATCCCATGTAGATATTGGGAGGATTGAGCAGATGGCCTCAACAGCTCCTTTCCAAGCAAGGCTTCTGTAACATTGGACACAGATGATTGTAACGGACCAGGAACAAGCTCAAATTACATTAAAGGTGCTACAAAATATGAAAGATCCTCAGTCAAAGAAAATTTGCCAAGTAAACCAGTTATGCACATGAATTCATCAAAGAACAGAAAGGACAGCAATTTAAAGTATGAATACTATTATTGCTTCTATATGCACTGAGATGGTTTGGGATAGTACAGTCCCCAAATAGGCTTTGTGGATCCCAGCACCAATAGTTTTTTCTGATTTATGGATGCCCTGAGGACCAGATCTCTCTAATACAGTATTTTCTTTTATAAAACTGCATTTTATATTGCAGAGTTTCAATGAATGTTTTCTTAAAAATGGAGCTGCAACTTTAAATCTTCCTTCCAAGAGTAACATCTAATCATCAAAAACAGGAATGTTTTGTGAGCTTCCCATTCCTGCCTCAAGGTAAAAAGAGAATATGGCTCAGTGGACAACTCCAGAGGCTCAGACTCTGCCCCATCTGCAGCACTGATCTCTTTCCAGAGCTGCGGTAAGCAGCAGACCACAAGAAATTTAATCCTGTTCTCCTGCAGCAGGAGCTGGCTGACTCCAGCCTAACAGCATTCCCTTGAAATTAATTCAGATATTCAATTCACAAACCAATCTCTCTTTCCAGGGAAAAGTGAAGGCTCGCAGCTCACAAGGAACCACAGACCACAGTCTCCAAGCAGCCAAGCAGCACATGTCACTGGACAACAATCCTTGCAACTAGATGAGGAATATCAAACTCAACATAAAATGCAATTTTCCTATTTAGCCACCAAAATTATTTAGGAACACAGATGCATATTCAGCTTTTCGCCTTTGTGTGGCTGGTCCTGAAGGATGTTGTCTTACAGGATGGATCCAACCACCTGGAAGTCTCTTTTCCTACATTCCCTGGCAGGCTAAAAAGGATGTTCCTCTGGTCTTTAATAAAATTGACATCTCATCATCTGTGTGAAAATATTTTTTTTTTTAAGAGCAAATAAGTAAACACGAAACACAAGTCATTGTTCAAAAAAAGTGCTTTGTAAAATTACATTTGTTGAGAAACTCAAGGATTTATCCATGACCATCTGATCTACTGAACCAAGACCTTGGAGACACAATGAATTCATCCTGACAGCACACCTATTAAGGAAAAGCTATTAAAAAGTTTTACAGTATGATTAAGGATTGTATAAACCACCAGTTGCATTGTTCCATATATGTTTTTTTTTTTCCTCTTCATCATTAAAAGTGCATCTCATTTGTAACCTACATCTAACCTACTTCTAATTTAGCCATCTGCAGGACTGAATGCTAAAAACCTTTTATTATATCATCTCACATTAAGGCAATCTTTAGGGCAATTTTCAATGC